TTTCTGCAGAGACACTCTGTCTGGAGGTGTTTCTTGTCTGCCATCTTGATCCACTCCCGTGAAATATCTTATGTTACATGTTTGTATATGCTCACTTATTGGACACCAGAGGCCATGGGGTATTATAAAGAGCTTTAAAGTCTGCTTTTCCTGAAGAAGTAATGAATGAGTTTATATGCAATGATAGATCAGTGTGTAGAGCATCTCTGAGGACAAAGAGCTAGATGACCTCATACAGAAAGCTCTAAGTAGAAGAGAAGTGAATAGAAGACAAGAAATGAATAGAAGACACAATCCTGGGGCTCCTATCATGTATGGTACAGAGAAGGAACAGAGAGCTGGAAGAGAACTAGGAGAGTGGGCATCTATGTAAACAGGGGCAGGGAACACATGGACCTTCTAGGGTACCAGCAATGCTTTATCCTTTCGTCCTGGGTCATGAGTACATAGTGTTGCTTTAATATGTATAATTCTTTAATGAATACACATTTTACACAACCTTCTGAATGTTAGTTATGTTTCATGATAAAATGGGAAAAAAATTGCAAAATGGTAGAAGTGTTAGTAAAAAATTAAGTTTTCTAAAAAATTTTTTAAAAGCATGGTAGCAGCAGTAGCTCATTGAGGAAGCAGGTTATCTTAAGAAGTAACTTTACTGGGATATAATTCACAAGGAAATGCATCCAGTTTAAGTGTACTGTTCTGTGGCTTTGGCAAATGTACCTAACAGTGTAACCACCACCACATTCAATAGAACATTTCTATTACTTCAAAATATTTTCTTGTGCCCCTCTCCAGCTAATTCTTGCCCCTCTTCTTTGGCTATAGGCAATTACTAATATGCTATCTGTCACTGTAGAAGTTGTCTAGAATTTTATAAAAATAGTATCATGCAATTAGCACTCTTTTGCGTTTAGCCTCTTGGGCACAGCATACTGTTTTTTGGGATCAATTCATGTGGTTGTGTGTAGTACAGGTTCATTCTTCTTATTGTTGAATAGTACCTTATATGGCAGCCCTGGGGATGTGCCACTCAGACCTTCTTAACAGAACTGGCCACAGCAGTTGCCCCTCTGAATCTACCATCATATTTATGTTATGGTCACACTTCTCCAGGGTTACACCCAGCAAAGGACTAAGCACAGTGGAAGACGACTGTCACTTTATTTCTGCAGAATGCAGGATTCCTCTACAGAGAAATTTTGGCTCAGAGAATCCCTATTTGTCACATCAGAGAGAGAGAGAAAGGAAGGAAGAAACGATAAGAGAAAGGGGAAAAAAAGGAAAGGAGACAGAAGCACAGACCAAGTACAGAGAAAAAAATTTCAGACAACAGTACCAAAGTCAGAGGTCAGAAGAGTTGCAAGGTTAAAAACTACAGGAATTACTAGAACAACACATTTATTCACGCCTCTAAGATTTTGTACAAAGCAGTCAGCCAGCTTTATCAAATTTAGTTTCTTCTTTATTGGAACTATGAGTATTATAGGATGAGTGCCCTTTGTAAATTGTTCCCTTTAAAAAAATTCTTTTATAACTGGCTTTATCTATTTTAATTGAGCTCCAAAATGATGCCTGGATTTGTTTCAGCTCAGGGTGCTCGTCTAGCATGCTGAGTTTGCCACTCCCCGCCATACCCCTTTTTTTCAGAAGGCACATAGTCATCAAATCAGTGACTTTTTCCCCCCATAGAGCTCCACAGACATGGTATCTGAAGGTACAGAATATAGCAGTTCTGAAGTTGCACAGCAGGTTTCTCCCCAGTGGAGACAGGAGATCAGCAAGAAGTAAGAAACATACTTTCAGTCAGACAACCTATCTGTATGGGACTGTGGAGGAATAGGAACAAGGCAGATCCCAAATACCAACATCCTGTATTTAATCTGTCACCAAATGGAAGTGAGAAATTCTCAGGGAAATTGCACAAAAAGCAGCACCAGTTTCTACTTCCAAATTTCCCTAAGCTTGTCTACTTTAAGCTCTTTGTCAATTATTCTTTCTAGCCTTTGGACGTTCTCATTTCCTGTTTTCCTAAAATTCCTGCATATTCCAGAGTTTCTTTCTACAATCCCTCTTCTGACATGTGGGCTTCCTGCAATAATGACATATTGTTTCTCATCTGCCTTTCTTCCCTTTATAATTTTTCCAGAGTAGGGATTATTTCCTTTAGCCAAGTGTTCTGAGCACCTAACATAGCAGTTCTTAATTTATTCTCTTCTCTAGATTGTTCCCCCAACTAAGTAGCCACTATTAAAATATGAGTAATAGTCTATTTTTGCCATCCTACCACCTTTTCCCTAACTTGTGCTTGGAAAATAAGCCAGACACAAGTGATTAAGATCAGAGAGTGATTTTGATCTGCTCTTGAATCTATGCCAATTATTTCTGAGAAAATCTCAAGAAACCACTGATGGAAATCAATGGGGATTCACCCTTCTTCTGTTTAGATACAGTGTAGCAACTTCTCCCACCTTACCTTTAGCCCAGAGACTAAAGGTATGGTCCTCAGCAATCTCTTTTGATGGTTATCTAATGCCCTCAGATCTTCCATTGTTGTGAGAGGGTGGTAGAGAGCCAGCTTCCCTTGGCCACTTTTCTCCTTGATATGGTGATCTCAATACTGTCAACTTAAGTAACAGAGAGGGAGACTCTCTAAGAGAAAATGATATTTATTTGGTAGTAGGCATTGTTAATGGGAATGTGCATACCATAGTAAACTGTGTGTGTCTTCAGGGAGGTAAAGGAAGACACAAATTTACAAAAAAATGAGAAGGATTACATAATTGTTTTGCTGAGAATCTCTGTATGTGTGTTAGGTTTTGTCTTCAGTTCTGAAGGCAGGCAATTTATAACTCTGCACTAGCTATCACTTCTTGCTTTTGCAGAGCTTTTAAGTCAACCAGAGGTTAGAGTGTATGGCCTTCTCAGATCTTTCCAAGGCACTTTCATGCACATGGCCTTTTAGATTCCCTGTATTATATCAGAATTTTCAAAGCTTATGTATCGGCATCTTATTCTCTAGCTTTTCTTTTTAATTTTTTTTTTTGTCAGCTTGCTTTTTACCTTACTATGGCCACCTCAAGCACTGTGATATTAAACAATTGGTGTGGATTTTGTAAAATCAGAATTACTTGGGAAAAGTCTCTTGGCATTGGGTGAGTTGTAAGTCAGGTCAAGTAAAGACAAATCCCAAGAGTCAGGTTCAAGAGAGGTCAAATGGTAATTAACTGAGAATGGGACTTTGAAGGCACTTCAATCCCTTTTGCCTTCTCCAGTGGCTTTTAGACTGCTGATTGTCATCCTCCTAGAGGAGCTATTGGTTCTCAAGGATACTGTAGAGCTGGGGAAAAGGAGATGGCAATAGAACAAGTAAAAATAATAAGAAATTTTGTTTTTTATAAAAATTTTACTGTTTTTTCTGAATAAATATACTTCAGATTGTTGTAAGCTTTTGATTAATTTCCAGAGTTCTGAGAAAGTTGATTTAGACAATTTTTGCCAATTTTTTATTGTTTTGATGGAAGACTATATTTTTGGAAGTCTTTTGAAGTCTGCCATTCTTGCTGATACCACTGTACAATTAATTTTTATATACTGACTTTGTATCTTGTGATTTTTCTAAATTTGCTTATTAATTATAATAGCTTTTCTGAAGATGCTTTAGAATTTTCTGCACACACTATTATGTCATCTGTGATTATGATATATTATGTGATTATATTACTTCTTTCATTCCAAATTGTATGCCTTTACTTTTTAACAAAATAATGCAGGGGTCCTCAGACTTTTTAAACAGGGGGCCAGTTCACTGTCCCTCAGATGGTTGAAGAGTGTGCACTGTGGGCCCGGGACGAGTCAGCTGCTAAGCAGGATAGGCAGCTGCGGCAAAAACACCCGGCAGGCCAGATAAATATCCTAGGCAGGCGGCATGTGGCCCATGGGCCGTAGTTTGAGGACGCCTGAAGTAATGTGATTAATTTAGTTTGCAGTTTTTTTTTTTCTAGGCTCATCTCTGATGTTTCTGAAAGTCTTCTCTTATTATAGTACATGTAAGTCATAAATGTTAAGGGATGGGGAAAAGATCATATTTATGAAATATTAAGGGATAAAGCTTACTGTTTCTGGATGCTTAGGCAACACTAATCAGAGTTATGACAATTTCCCAGGTCAGTATGAAAGAATGAATTCACCTTTCCTCACATTTGTCCTGTTCAGGCCCTCAGTGGATTGGATTATACCCACCTGCACTGGGGAGAGCAATCTTCTTTACTCAGTCTACCAATTCAAGTGCTAATCTTTTCCAGAAACACTTTGAAAGACATATCCAGAAATAATGTTTTAGCGGCTCTCTGGACATCCCTTGGCCTGGTTAAATTGACTTAGAAAGTTAACCATCACACAACGTAATCCTCTAAAAAACAGAATGTACTGTACTTATAATAAGTTTCCTGGTCCTTCAGTCTACTAAAAAGTTTTAGCTTCATAAATGATAGAATTTGGACAAGTCCCCACATCCCTTATTTTTTAAGCCAAAGCTTGGTCCACCACAAGCAGGGTTTGTTAACATGGTTAATGATCCATGATAATGGTATTATCTGGATTTTGACTAAATATCAGCTAAATTTAAAAAAAAGAAACCTCTTCTTAAAAAATATTGCAGTCACCCAACCACAAAAATTTACTTCATGGCTTATTCAGTGCTTATGTTTAGGCTCTGGTTTATGTCTCAATGATAAAGTTATTTCAGGCTTATAACAGTTTCACAGGATGAAGAAATACTGTAGGAGTTTTAAGTTGCATGCTGGTAATACATGTGAAATCTGATGAACTATGACATCTGTTTCAGAGTCTCTGTGTTTGTGAAACATGTTACTACTGAGTCTGTAGTGTTTGGATTGCAAATTAGCTTCATGTAGTTAAGATGATCATTTCACCTGAGAGAGTTCCCCGTCTACATCTGCTTTAACCTTAGTACTGAAGAAGCTGGAAAAAAGGATATTATGGGGTTCAAAGCTCTCTGTTTGGGGCTGTTGTTTGTTCTTTTTGTTTCTTACATTTATAAACCCATACCAGAAAATGTTGAAGAAAGTTGGAAAGTATTGGCTTTGGATGTACCTCTTAAAATTTTATCATTGATGGTAAGATTGACATTTATTTTCTGCTGAAAATTGGGATGCTATATTGACTTAAAATGAGCGCTTATGAACTGTTTTATTAGTACTAATATCATCATTTTGAAAGAACTCTTGCTTATTTGTTAGAGTAAATAACATTAAGTAAAATAAAATTTACTGCGTCTGTGCAGAACAGAGTGAAAAAGAAATTTTGTTTCCAAGAGTTTATGTATAAATGTAAAGACTCTATTTATTGTGATGTGCATAAAAGAAATGGTATTGTTGAAGCAAAGGCTTTGAGGCTTATTTAATAATTTGACAAATTTGAATTTCAAGGGCAACCTAGTCTCATAATTATCTTTTAGTTGTTCAGGTATACATTATTAGTGTATATACCTGTGTGATGTTAACTTAGGGCTTGTATTATTCAATGGATTTCAGTGTCTTTCATCAATTCTAAATTTTTGGACTTCAGGGATTGTCTGACTTGCAATATGTAGAGTGGATTATGAGCTCTTGCAAAAATGACTCCTGTGTAAGGGGAAGATATGATTAAACACTAACATTTTTAAGCTCTTAAAATGTACAGGCTTTTTATAATACATATCTCCACTCATTCTCTACTCTCTTGCAATTATTTTTCTCAGTTTATGGAGAAGGAAAAAGAGATTCAAAAAAACACATGCAGGTAGAAATGAACAACTCCAGAACTATAAGAATTGTCTCATTTCAAAGTCTGTACTCTTTCTGCCAAACCAGGTAGCCTCGTGAAAAGTTCTGCTGTGGTAGTAACAACAGGAGACCAAAAGGAGAAAGCAAGAACAGTAGTAGATAATCAGAAAAGAGAAAGCAATCCATCTGTATAGGAGGGAGAGGCTGTCCCATGGTGCTTTGTACAGCAAACAACAAATCTGTGAAACCACAATCAATGCCTACTGGTGTCATCTAAGTCTTTATATTTTTTTCTCTAATCACTTTTAGAGGCTCGCCTTCTTTATAACTGTCTCTTTTTCCAATGCTCTCGCTCCTCACTTTAGTCTAATATGAAGGAATATGTGGATATCCACAGAAAAACTGCTATATTATCTTCCTTGATTATCTCATATATATTTAACACTCAACTGATATGGATATCATCAAAATTACAACATTATCAGAACATCCAACTTAAAAGTTCTACTTTTATTTTCTTAGCTTCAAATTTTTCTCACCATTCTCCATCTATAATACAATTATGCAATTTATATATTTGATATTATATATGGATTACCCTTTATCTTAAAAAAATTGTAGGAAAAGCAAACACACAATTACTTTAAAGATTGCTCTAATAAATTTAACAATTTTTGGCTGTTATAGGGAAAACAATTTTAGGACTGAATTTTGTAACTCAAAATTGTTTTTTTTGTTTTTTTTTTTTTGAGACAGAGTCTCACTTTGTTGCCCAGGCTAGTCAAAATTGTTATAGTAGCAAGAATAATAATTTATTTAACATATGAAAGGGAAGTGAAAAATCAATTTTTTGATAAAATGGCCTTGAAAGATAAATGTATTGCTTTGCAATCATATGTTGAATTGGAAGGTAGAGTTTGGTAGAATAAAGCACATACATCCTTGAAAAATCTCCTTTACCCTTCATTACATATTTTTTACCTATAAAATGGGGTTCTTAATAATAAAAACTTTGCAGAATTGCTCTCCTAATTAAAGATCATGTATGCAATAAGAGACAAAAATAATCTCTAAAGTGGTAGCTTTTGTTATGGTTCAAAAATATTTAAGTGTCTAATCAAAAACAGAAAATCTGAGAAAATGAGAAACAAGGCAATATGCCCCAAATCTAATTTTTAAAAGCCAACTTGCCAAATGAAAAATTAACTGAATTTACTCATTTACCAAAAACTTGCTATAAAGGATATTCTATTTGGTTATATTCAATTAGCAGGAAAATGCTCAATAATTCTTATTAGTGAATAATATTTAAATAACAAGAAAAGATTTATTGAATATGTACATAGGACAGATGCTCTTCTAATGTGTTGAAAGTACTAATATATTTAAATGCTACTACAGCTCATTGAGGAATTTATTACTATTACCATTATATAGACAAGGAAATTGAGATACAGAGAGGAATTTGCTTAATGTCACTCAGCTAGTAAGTGGTAGTATAAGAATCTGGCTTAGAAAAATGGATACAGACTTGGCCTTGATGTTTATTGGCTACAACTTAGAGCTTATGCATACTTCCCCATCATTAAAGTAGAGGGATTAGATGTTCTCTAATGCCCTGTAAATACTTTAAATTCTTTGGAATAATTATAATAATAAAGGCTGTTCAATGTATTATTATCCATGTAATTTTTAAGGTTTTTCCTTTGAGCAAACTGTCTAATAATATGTCAGAAAGGTCCTAGAAAAACTAGTCAGAAATGCCAAGGAGAAATTTTTTCAATGACATCAGATATGGGATTTAAGAGGTGGGAGAACAAAGGGCACCAATCTATTTGGAATTGAAAACCAGGGAATTTGGATCATTAACAGTGTGGTCATGATGATATTCAAAACTCTAGATAAAATTAACAATAAAAAAAGGAAAATATGACAGCATACCTACAAAAAAAAGAAGAGTGGTTATAAGACCTGGACATTTTTCAGATATGAATTATAAATAAGAAATGATTATAGCAAGCATACAAAACTGCCAATAAATTGATGGGTTTTGAATGAGAGAGTTCTTAATGTAAAATACAGAATACTTGAGATTTTCGAAGGCAACAAGTAATAAAATCTTTACAGTATTATTTGGAAATAATGTTTAGAAACTTTCTATTATTTTTGTTTACTTTGCTTATATTTTCTTCCTTTTTAAAACTTTCTCTTTATATGCATTGGTGTTATTTAAAGATGCAAATGTTTAGTTTTGTTTATTTTGTTTTGTTCTTACAGGCCATATATTTTGAAAAGTTGGGGATTATAAATTATGCAGAGTTTATATCTATAATAGCCAAACTGGATTATACTCAACCACATTCAGATGAATACCTCACAGTGACTGATATGGCATTTGCTGACATTCCAGTACGCTTGTACTTGCCAAAGAGAAAGTCAGAAATCCCAAGACGAGCTGTAATCTATGTTCATGGTGGTGCTTTTTGTTTCGGAAGTTTTAGTAAGTCCATTTTATAAGGGATAAGTATGACTGGCTCTATGTTTTTCATATAAAAACTATTTTATATAAATATATATACTTATGTATATCTATATGTGTATACTTCTATGGATAGGTATAAGTATACATATAAACATTATATATCTAATAGAGAGATAGGCATGGACATACTTATGGCAATAATATGGGGATTTTGTTTTATTTATTTATTT